GCATACGAATACGTGAAAAGAGTCAGATCTCAAGCATGGTAAAGTGAGACAAGTTACAACGATTGTCGGTGCAAACTGTGAGGGCAGCACTGTTTAGTTGTGAAGAGGAAAAGCAGAGGAGAAGCAGTTTCTATACCTGCTTCATAATTCTAAGCCAGTTGCCCCTGCTTTGACTTACTATGGTGAGGTACTATTGTAAATACATACACCTATACACTGTAATATATCATTATTAATCTTATTCGAGAATTATCGAAAATGTTGTAAGAAGATAACAGTGATTCAAGCTACTTCTTATAATGTGTTTTTGTAGTGTTAAAGAAACATCTGTGTAAGAGTAATATATTTGATTAATGGGAGCAGCGCATGCGACGAAGGTTATAGGAAAAATGGAAAGGTATGAGGAATTTGTTTCTTTAACTGTCAACTTAATAATTAATCAATTTTCAGTTATTTAATTATTCTGAACATTGTTTTAGATCTCATCGTTCAGGTGCAGATGGCAAAGTGGAGGCTCAGTCGAATGCGAGTAGCAGTTCAAGACCGTTATCTATTCAGGGTCCTCAAAGTACAAATAATGCTGAATCACATAATCCAGCATTAGTACCGAACCAACCTAGGCAGCCAAGAAATCTGCAAGGATTGCTAAGATATGCTATGGAAGCAACTAATACTGAAGATTCCACTAATAGTACCCAGTTGAATCCTATGGATGCTGAAGTAGATATAATATTTACAAATCCGTTAATAGAGTTTACGTAACTAGTAAATTACTTAAACATTATGTTTATATATTTACAGAGACAACAGTTTTTAACAGAGGCACTCTCTTCTTTGTCATGTAATGTTATTGAAGAATTACAGAAAAGTATTAAAATATTGTCGAACGTAGTCGAACTTTGTCCAGACGATGATACCTCACAGCAGGAAGTTGCTCTAGAAAGAATAGCAGATTATGTAGATAATGTAGATATTGCAAATGATTTCTATAAAATAGGAGGTTTTTCCATTTTTGGTCCATGCTTAAATTCTCCGCATAATAACATCAGATGGAGAGCAGCAGATGTTATAGCTGAATTAACTCAAAATAATCCTTTTTGTCAAAATAAATTTCTCGAAACTGGCCTGTTCCCTGTACTATTGAAAATTATAGATACAGATCCTGTGGAAATTGTCAGAATCAAAGCTTTGTACGCTGTATCTTGTAAGTACTGATGTCACTTACTTTATTAGAAATTGCATTTCCCCATTAACTCGGGTTAAATTTAAATTTTAGGTATAGTTCGTGAACATTCTGCATCTTTGAAATATATGGACAAGTATGATGGATATTCTGTACTTTTAAGAGCTATGCAAAGTCCAGTGAAAAAACTGCAGATTAAATCTGCTTTCCTCTTATGTTCTCTCTGTTATAAAGAAAATACGAATAATTTGAAACTCTCCTTAATTAACATGGGTTTCATTGAACAAGCAACTGGATTATTAGTTAGGAATGAATTAATTCCTGATATTAGGTACTATTTTATTCCTATTTTGTTTTGCTGATGTAATTTGTTGGTCTCAATGTATCATTAATTATTTCAGGGATCAGTTATTGAACATTCTTGATGGTTTGACCAATAATAATTTCCTCCCAGCCTTAAATGAATGCAAGCGCCCAGAACTTTGTTTACAAACAACATTGGGACGCTGCATAAAAGAGTTACAGCAAGAGGAAAGTTTGGATCAATTAGATGTATGTTATCGAATCTTAAAAAAAGTTTTCCCTGAAGACGACGCAGGTCAAGAAAGATAGTTTTCAATAAAATTGACAAACTTTTCTCCGCGCATTAAGCTTGTACATTATCAGACACTGCTGCTAATAAACAAAGCCAAATATATTTTACATACATTATTGTATTATACATCTTAATGTGTGTACTAACAAATAAAATCTTAGTTTAATGCTTATAGCTTCCTGTACCATTAATTTATTGAGAAACTATTAACTTATAAAAAGCAATTAAAACTGTTATAATTACAGCAATTGTTTTTTTTATATGGTTACTAAACAATGATTAAACAATTATTTTCAAAAATTGCAATTTGTTGGCATCTAACATTCCCCCAAAAATGGGGAATGGATGCAACGCAAAAATTCTCTTAATTAGAGTAGTGCATTAATTTTGCGTTAATTTCGTATGTAAAGTTACAATGAACATAACGATGATATATGCCTTTCAAATATTATTAATTGTTATATTACTTTGTGTAAAAAGTAACAAATCAAGGAGTTAAATATTTTTAAAAAGAATATTATTTAAAAATTTCTTTTGAAATAATACGCGTACAATATTATTGGTTAACAATAGTTGAAAAATAAGAAGAATATAGGAATATAAGACTAATTAAAAGAAAGTTAACCAAATAAATTTGTTACTGAGTGGGCGTTTTCAGATACAGTAACACCTCGCTTATCCAAACATGTCACGGCATAAGACAGTTCAAATAACCGATGAATTCTGATAATAGAAATGAACTAGCTATTCGCGCCAGCTGCTCATATTAATAGATTGCTGACTGTACGCTTGTAAGACAAAATGAATTTGTGAATTATAAAACAATAAAAACATAATAATTTTAAGATATATACATTTTCTAGTATTACACTAATACTATTATCATAGGATATACGTATTTTCTAGTATTATGTTAATACTACTATGTTAAAATGTATATTTTCTAGTATTATACTAATACTATTATCGTAAAATATATATTTTTTCTAGTATACCAATATTATTTTCTACTATTACACTAATACTATTACATTATTTTCAATCTAATAAAGCTATTAACCTTCTAATGTCAATCACACTACGTCAATGTTTACTCTTTAAATACCATGACATCTTGCTGAGATTATAGTTTATTTTTAAATACATATTACTCTAGATAGCTTCTACGTTAAGTAGGAAAATCGATTTTTATTTTACTACAGCATGTTGTAATTAATATTGACAGTTTTATTTTGTATGAAATTCTGCACTCTACTTCTATTAGTTTTGATAACATAAAACAGTGAAGTTGATTAAACAATTTCGACTCAAATATCTGGTTGCTTCTGAAAAATTCGTATACAAAAGGTTCTATTGTAAATCAATGTAATTTTGTGTCGGAAATATTTTGACTAGCTGCATAAGATGGGAGAAAATAAGAATCAAAAAAAAATTATTTTAGAATACTATATTTATTGATAGTGTAATCTATAAAGAATACTATGTATATGTAGTATAAGAATCTGTTCATCGAAATATATTTGTTAAGTTTGCAAAACTTAACACATAAAACGCAAACAGATCAATTTAAACCCTCCCCAGATGACAAATGTATTTAAAATGACATTTTCCAAACATATTATTAAAACAATCACTTGTGTCCGTTTTAAAAAGTATGTTAGAATTAAATTTCTGCATTGAACAGTTATGTCAATAACTCATGTATATAGTGTTAAAAAGTGGACTTAATTAATTTCAGTTATTCCGATAGTTTCTTTTAGGTTCTAACAGTTAGGGAATCTAACAGGTAATAGTCCAACGGACAAGATCAGGAATATAGCGAGGATGTTATAACACCTCAAAACGAAGTTTTTTGAAAGGATCGATACGTCGACACAGATCTCGTTCCACCAGACTACCACCTGTTTGGTCATCTCTAAGAAACCCTATGAAGATGAAGATTCACGTACTGAATCATGATGTGAAAACATCGCCATGTTTACAACTCCCAGCTCAGGTGAAAACATTTTTTGACTTTTATCCATTGGGGTTTATATCCTCCATTTTTTTTTAAATTTTTGTAATTTTCCCATAAAAACATCGCATGTGTTTAGAACAATTGCAAGATAAATAGCGAAAACATAAATTATTTCAACTAAAATTATTTTCCTTAAATTCTCTTATGTTTCTAAAATAACCATTCGAAATTTCACTTTCATCGGTTTGGTAGATCATTAGTTATGATTTAATGAAAAAAGGTTGACATTTTATTTGCTGGCTTGTAAGATTAACAGTTTTGAAAATTTTGAAAAATCTTTCAGGATTTGTTCATATATCGTTAAAGACTACGATGTATTCAAATTTGACCAAAATCACAAACGATATCCTAAAAGATGTCCGATTTCGCATGGAATGACTCTATGTACACTCTTTCTTTTTCTTTTTTTTAAATTTAATTTAATAATTTAATAATAATAATTTTCTACTCACTACATTTAAATATCAATATTTGTGAAGTTTACTTGACAATTGATTGCTTGTGTGCAAACTATAATTTAATTGTAATTTTGTTTATTTGTAAAATAGCAGTTCAATTCGGGAAAAAACGCCGGCACTCGACTCATAAAATCGTGCGTAGACAAGATTGATTTTGCACAAAGATCCGCTGTCGAATTATTGCTTGAATCAAGAAGTTTATCAAAGGATTCCTCACAGGATCATTTTTCTAATTTCAGTAACTACGAAAGAAAACATTGGAGACCAGTGATTCTAATTGATTTGGTAGTTTCAGTGTTCTAGTTTGGTCAGGCAAGTCAGGGTCCAATAAGTACACAAAATTACGTAGACGGAAAAGGTGGCAATTCTGCGGGGAGCCTAAAGTGTATTCTCAGCACTTGATGGACGAGTTTACACAAACTACAGAAGATTCCCAAGATTCTTGGCAATCGGCCAAAGGCAATGAGAGATAAAAGTTGCTCTTTCCCGCGACAGCGTCATCGTGGAAACTGAGAATTTGCAAATCGTGATCCGTTGCTGTTCGTTTTATCTTGGCTCGGTTTAGATCAGTGCTCCCATACACTCGCACATCATTCTGGGCACAATCATTTTCGAGTATACTCATTTTTCAGCTGATAAGTTTCTATACGTAGACTGGGATCGTTCAAATTTTTGTGTCATAATTGTCCGACAAAATTCTCAACTGCCTGCGCTATAACAACGAGACAGACTGCTGAATATGGATGTTATTCGTTCCACCTAAATCGAAACAAAACTTGGTTTTTTTGTTATTAAAATCCAAGAATGAAACAAAGAATGAAATCACAAGAATGAAAGTAAGTGAAGACATACAGGAAATAAAGATTGTCTCTGTCTATCAGGGAGATTATTAACCCCTTACCGTCTCAGTTTCTTCGCAATTACTATGGATAGAAGTTCGTCGTCTCTAATAATCCCACCGAAGAAGAAGGAAATTTATATTTGTTTTGGACCTACATTTATACTCGAATGCTCAACCTTCGAGTGGTGACGTATGTCAAATTGGCTTCGTATAATTACAATAATAGCTACTTGACGGCAAATTGATTTCGTATCAATAATGGTGACTTGAAGTCAAATTGATTTCGTGCCAATAGTAGTGTATTGAAGTTAAAGACACTTTGAGGGTGTTTTTATCACGTTCAACAACCTTCCTTGATGCAAATGTTGCTCTTCTAATAGACAATCAGACTGTGCAAGAGGTTACTCGAGTAACAAAAGAATCACAAAACCAGCGGAAGAAAGTTTTACGAATAAACAAAGTCCGACACTCCACGCGCACCAACCTGATCAAGCCAGCGAGCATCTCTGCTATCTTTTCGACTGTAAACGAGAATCGATAAGAGGTTGAATGAACAGAAAAACATCGCGGCAAAGAAAAGAATGAAAGGATTAAAAGCAAGCATCACGTAGGGCCCGAGAGATCAATAGAAGCGTAAATCCGCTTTACGAGCGGGGTCAGCCATACCCCGGAAGAAGGACTATGCGGTCGGGATTTTAAGGCGAGGCCGTAGCAGGCGACATAGCGGACACAATAAAAGTCTGTCCCCACGTTCGACGGAGCTCCGAACACTTCTTGATCGTTCTCCAAAAGGTACCAATCGACCGGCATTAAGGTTGCGTCGCGTCGCGCCGTGTTCCGCGAGCAGGACTCTCCTCTCATCGTATTAACCTTGGCCAGATCGTTTCCCTGTTCCGCATTCTAAAAATATTTACCGCGAGAGGATAGTTAGCCGTGATAAACACTGATGCGACGATTCTTTCTTCGTGGTCTTCTACTGCCGGAACCATCGAATCCTTGACGACCGAACGTCTGAACGATGAACGCGACAAGATTGCTTCCAATAATGTTCAAACTGCTGGAAAAAAATCATCTCAACACTTTGACCGACTTCAGGAGGAAGTGATCCCGTTTTATGAAAACATTTCTTTTGATTCTTTGACCATCCAGAAGTCTACATTTTAATTTTACCACTCATTGGATTAATCTCTCATACAATTTTTTAATTGTAATAATATATATAATATTTTTTAAATTGTGTAAATGAAATCTTTGGTAATTCAAGTGTAATTTATGCGATATTAGGAATTTGATTTTTAGGTTTTGTTGTGTGAGCTCATCATTATTTTACATCAGCAATAATAATTATTGCAGTCCCAGCTGGAAATACAGGTGTCCCACGCAACTTGTGCATCTCCCGCAACTTTCGAAATATGTGTTGGACAAAAGAATTACGGTTTTCTTCACGTAATATCAAATTGGAGATGCAACCTTATTACAGATTTACAAGGTCAGAGGAAAGTGAATAAAATTTTCAAAAAATAAAGTGAAATTTCTCGTTACTTTTTAGATTTAGGGCTAATAAAGATCGATCACTATTTTACTCAGAATTCGCTATTTTTCCATATTCTGATATAAAAATGTAGTATTCCATTTAAGAAAAGAAAAATGACCTTGAAATCTTCTAAACGCTTCCAGTTCAAAAGTTATTGCAATCTAAATTTTCCTTAATTATATTTCTGCGCTTGTTACATTTTGTTCGTTCGTTAAATTTTATAGACTGACGAGACAAACAATCAATTGTTTCTCAAGTAACACCAATTTTGTTTCGGTTTGCAGTTTCACGAGAATTGATTTTTGATCGCTGTCAATTTGACAA